ATTATATATATATATATATATATATATATATATATATATATATATATATAATGTAAATGACCACTTGTAATTGGCCTCAATACCTGGTGGTGAACTATTATATTTTTAAATAAATAAATGAAAACATGATTTTTGTTCTTCGTGAAAATCTTAAAGCTTTTAACGTTATTAAAAGTCTATTTTGGTTCTTCTTAAATTCTTAAAAGGATATCCCGAATAGATGCTGATAGCAACCAAGTTAACTATCATTAGAGACCGGATTTCCAAGTTATTGCACTTTTTATTAGCTTACGTGAAAAAAACTCCGGACTCGAATATTTATCCGTTTCAGGACCTTAGAATAACATATTTAAATTTTATATTGCACGAAATTGCAACTTTAGCCGTTTTTTGCTTAAATTGCACGTTTTGAATTTTTGTTGAATTAAATTGCACATTTTTGCACTTTTGTGCTAAATTAGACGATTTATAAATACAAAAATTTAAGTGCGTGTGTTAATATTTATTTTACTATATTTTTCAAATTAAATTTATCATTCAAAATAGAAAAATATGAGGAAGGCAAATAATTCTGTGTGAAGCAAAAATCTTGTTAATTACACAATGAAGAAGTAAACACAAGTGAGATCTATTCTTGGAATAGAACTTCCTTAAAGTATTGGATAATCAAAAGCTGCTTTCCTAGAATTAACTGCTTTAGTAAGACATTTATAGTTATTGTTTTGACATTAATCCTCACTTACCGTTCAACCTTTCAGCATCTCTTCAGGCTTTAAATTGATTTATCGATATTTCATTATAAAATAAAAAAAAAATTGATAATGCTGAAAGTAAAATCTCGTCAAAAATTAAAATCTGGATATAAAAATATCCTGATTTGAAATGTGAGGACAAAGAATTTAATGAGAAAGTTTTATATACCTTTTGAAAAATCAACCAGGTGTTAGGAAATCACTGATAGACGCTCATTGTGGAACATGTAAGAAAAAAATATTCCTATCAAAGGAGAGTTTGATAACGAAATCCCCAAAAATGTTTTTTTAGTGATGTATTCAACACTAAACAACAGATTCAACACTAAATATCTCAAACATTAGTCTATTTCAATTTTTAATTCTTTAAATTTTAACAAAAGCATTTTTGAATGTATACTGAAAATTGCAGCCCTATTAAAAATAAAATTTTCATTATTATTTTTCATTATAGTACCTTATAATTCCTGCCTTCATTTATTCCTTCAAACCTTCAATGTTCCGCATTATTTGATAATACTCGTTATTATAATAGTTGATTATAATCTAGAATTTCATTTTCAATGTAACATTTCAATTTTTTTTTTCTAAACAACTCTCGGTTAAGTGAAGATCTGATGAGATTTCGATGTATTAATGTTATAAATTAAATAATATTGATGATTTTACACGTTTTTATATGTTAATTACAGAATTTTAGATTTTTACAGCACGATTAAGCACATTTTGAGTTTTTTACTGCACGTTTTCCGAATGGTCTCTAATTATCACCATAGGCAATAGGCACAAGCGGATCTACGGGGTGGAGGAGAGGGCGTTCGGGCTGAAGCCCTCCCACCTCCGCCCTCCCCCCCAAAATGGTAAAATATAACCATGTTTTACAGAAAAAAATATTAAAAACTATCTCTTAAAGTATTCTTGTTCGTTTAATTATATTTAATAGGACTTCAAGAACCACTTAAACACCATTTCATAGAGGTAGTTAATTTATTTTATCTTTCAAATTAATTATCGTTATATGTATATGAAAAAAAATCTTTGGGCTGAAGCCCCCCCCAAAAAAAAAATTAAATTCTGGATCCGCTAGTGAGAATAGGTGTCACCCCTTTCCCTCCATTATTAAAATGTAGTTTGTTTTCCTTACTTTTTACAACATTCACAAAAAAATCTGCAAAGAAGTTAACCAATGATTTCTCATGTAGCTCAGTTAATAATGTTTTGACCTCTTATTGCTGAGTTCTAGCTTAAAATGTAATATGGCATTTTTATTTATTTATTTTTTTTTTTACATAATTTTTAGCAGAACAACGATTTTGTTCAAAGTGTACTTTTTTTAATGAAACAAAACAAAATAATGTTATTTTTACTAACGCTTCCATTGTAATTTTTCCATCATTATATTCACAATTTACACAAAAACTATTAAAAAGCTTATCAAAATCCCACTCAACTTTTCGGCAGAAGTGAGATAATGATATTCCTTAACTAACAGATTAAATATTGGATAACCAACTGCTATCAGAGTATAAAGCACAAAAATCATATTAGTAGGAAATCCTGAATCGTTTCGGAAATGCGTTGCTTTAAAAGAAGCCGGTTTTGTCACTGAGTAGAAGAAACGTCAGACTTCATCATCTATTCAAAGACCTTTGCTTACCTCTCCTGGCCAATCTTTTCCATTCACTGATTCCCTTTTCAAGTGCTTATATCTCGTACACCGCATCAGATATGTGATGTAATCTTGTTTTCCTTTGAAAGCGTCTGTAGCAGAAGACCAAACTTTTAATATTTTAACGCTCCGGTATGTGTTTAACTTTATTTAATAGTTATTCTCGTTTTATTTTCCGTTTGTCGTCTTTTCTTAACTAAGAGGACCTATGACTTAATTTTTTTTTTTCCTTTTACCCCTTTCCCGACCATTTCTGGTATACGCGAGATATTCTACAGGTGTAACTGAACTATTTTAAACTAAGCGGTAATGTTGAAATTCATTCCTTGGGTCAAGTATAACATTTGAAGATGAAGTAATTAAAAAAAAAAGGGCTACTTTAGCAACTAAACGAAAATTATTTGGTTCAGTTCGAAATGAGATGACCCCTAAAGTCTTGGTTGAATCTGGAGCCTGCAAATAACTTTGGTTTTATTTTGGAATACCCTCGGAAAAATATGAAATTTTAATTGTAAATGAATAGTTATTATTTACTAATTAGTAATAATTATAAAATTATGTTTTAAGGACGCAACGGTTAAATTACCAAGTGCAAATAATTAATTTAATAATGTACAAAATTTTTGTAAAAAAACTAAACTAATCATTAAATGGGTTGTTCCTGACAAAGTTCTTTACAAATATTTTAAAACGCTTAAAGTAAATATGCTTCACCGGAAACGATATTTTTAATTTATTAATCCATAATCTTGACCCCATAAGCGCATACATCGGGTGGAGAGGGGGGGGGGCCGCGGTCGCCGTCTCAATAAAAATGCTGAGAGGGCGAAAATATCGTTTCGCCACCTCCCCTCTTTCCCCATTAATTTGAAGTAAAAAAAAAATTAAATTTGATAGCAAATAATTTACATGAAAAATGAGCAGGATGAAAGAAGGAAAAGTCTTTGTTAGTCTGTACGGTCTGTAGGATATAATACACGTATAGATTTGCTTTTTTTTTATAAACTGAGAAACAAATGCTGCTGGTTATATTAAATCAATTCAAATGTATAATTAGACATTTAAGAAAATTCATAATATGGAATAAAAAAGAAAAAAAATCAAAGGGATATATGTTATATCTCTAGCTCTAAGTTAATGATTCATAGTTGTGCCAATTCGTATAGTTTAATCTCCATACTGCAGCTAAGTTATTCATGCATAAATGATCATGTCATAAATATAGTTTCATATTTATGTCGGAGTTACCACACATTTCATTATTTTCGAAAATTCGAGACTTTGAAAAAAATTATATTTCAATTAGAGTATCCACACCAGTGATGGACATAGTCTGACATAGTTAACTCACATATTCCTAAAGTTTAGGCATGGATAAAAATACCACTTTCAAAGATATTCAATAAAATATAAGTAAAAAGCCTGTTCCTTCCACATTAATCATGCAACTTGTTATAAATAATTAAATATATTTGAGGCATTTTTCCAGAATTCTGAAAGTAATTTTTAGTTGTGAAAATAGTTTTTTTTGTAAATGTGTCAAATAAGGTCTTAAATGAGTTATTTCTAAAAAAAAATTGAAAAATTCGTATTTTCATAGGATAAGTTATCACTTAACGGATCCTGGAATTTCCTTTTTTCATCGGAAAGTACTTCCCGCTAACGTCTTACTGTAATCTCAATGTTTTTTTAACCCTATGCTAATGATGAATACAAAAATCACCTGTGATTATTTGAGATTTTGGCAATTATCTGGAAAATTCAGTCAAGGACGTTATAACAATAACTAGCAAGAAAAAATTGCTACCCGTATCTATATAAATTTATACCTAATATAATTTACTCCTTTCCGTCATAGATAACTGGAAGAAAAGTATAGAAACAAAAAAACTTACAGTAAATGCGAAGGAAAATATTGAAGAGAAATTCAAACAATTCCGTGACACATAATTAATATTGGGGCATTGTTTTCAGCTAGATATTATATGTTTTATCTTAATTTATTTTTAGGTTTATTTGCTCCTCTTCTCTTACTACTATGTCCTCTTGATATTAATATAGATAATAGATATTTATAATAGATTCTGCCAATAACCTTATAAAATAACTTTTCAATTTTACAACATGCAAAATATATTTTATTTATAATGTAAAAAATGAACAATAATAATAATGGTTGCTCATACACAAAAAGTTTAATCGTATATTAATTTAGAACTATTTTTATCTACCGTGCAGTTCTCGTGAATCTTAGCGTCCAAGTTTTGTTTGCTGGTCGCTGTATGATTGCCCACTGGTCACTGGCAAGATTTTTGATCAGCTTACAATTATAGTTGTAGGTATAGTTATAATTAACTTAAATAGGGACTTTAAATGGACCGCTAGTCGCTCTCTAGTCGCTATCTGGTCACCATATGGTCACTGGTGACTTTGTTGTCAAGGAAAATTGGTGTCTTAATTCATGAAATTAAATTTTTCTTAATCAATTTCGAGGCAGCAAAAAAAAGTGGAATTGAACAAGAATCCAGTCTCTAGTCATACTAATTACTTGATATAATATTTACAATATTATTTTTCAGGGCATAAAAAGTGTCGGGAGCGGTGGCCAACCATAGACTACGAAAAAGGATACACCATCCTCCTCGACATGCTCCTTCTTGTTGTTCCTCTTATTGTACTCGTCACAACTTACTCGATGGTGGCGCGAACTCTTTGGAGAGTAATCAAGAAGCAGCCTCCCCAGGGTTAGTATTTATTTATTATTCTCTAAGTATTATATCCTAAGAGGTGCTATTTACTGCTCAAAACCTCAGGAATATTACAAAACTCGAATTAAATACAAAGCATTCGATTAAAACAGCCTACCAGAACACTCTGAAATCATTGAGAACCTCATGCAATTTCTAAGATTAACTAAAATATATAACAAAATACACATTTACAGTAGTAAACGACTCTGGTGTGAACGATCCTAGTAATTGAAAAAGTTGAATAAATAAAACTAATAAAAATAGGTCGCTCGTTTTTCAATGCAATATTAAATAATAATGAAAAAAAATAATGAAAAAAATAAGATAACAAAAAATGTTTTTTGTTTCGGAAAAAAAAATTGTATAACTTTTGTTTAAAATGTCTGATTCTCGCTACATTAATTTCTTTATTTAAAGTTTATTATTAAAAAGAAAAAACAATTATACAAGAAATATACTAATTTATTTAAATATTTTGTTTTAAATTTAAATTTATATATTTACTTGTGTGATATCTCACCGTTTAAGATATAACTTAGTGTGATTCGACATTAATTTTTAGGCAAGCAGGTCTCTAATCCAGCTCTTTTTCTATCTCCTTCGAACGTTATTTGACATGTATGTTGTGGCCATGTTATTTATGACTAGATTATAATTTGTCATGGAATCGTTTGTAATGGGTTCATATTTGTTCATTAACATTTGCATATGAATCTTTTTTTTTTTTTTTTGACTTATTTATTGAAAAATATTTCAATCTTTCTCAAGGACATTTATAATAGTGTTCACAGATCACATTCACACTCTACGTACAATAAATAAAATAAATTATACAAAAAAATAATATATATACAATAAATAAGAATAAAATAACCTAAAAATAAATAAATAAAAAGAACACAAACATACCTATATACAATATTTACAATCTGGCGTGAGAACTCTAAACCAGACTTGTCCCTCCAACTGTGGAAAAAGCATGACTCCAGGAGATCCCTGCACTTCTCTCTCAACCGTGTCACTGGGGCTAAACCCAGTGGAGATTGAGCAAGAGTGCTTTAGCCACATATGAAGTCTAATTTCAACTTTCGTTGTCAACCTAGACTATATGTCTTAAGAGTCTTACATTTGTCCAATAAATTTACAGTTAGCATATATTTGGTATATCATTACTTTTAACTAAAGCTCTACTTTACTACGGGAACTGGACCAGACTCAACATTCTCCAAAGATGTGTTCACGAATGTCCCCCATAGTCATTCATTCTCTATTAACCATTCTCTATTTTATTTCATGTTAGCTCTCCAAAATTCTATACAAACAATTCCAAATCTACAACTCAGTAATCAGAATCATCTATCAGAGTAGCTCTTGCAACATTATAAGTGTATAAGAAGTAAGTTGTAAATCTATAACAAGTATCTTTAAATGTCAATATATCATTTTATTTTGTAATAAAAATAAATTATAATGTTTTTACTATTGTATGAGCTCAGTAATTCACATTCACAGGGATTATTCGAGGCTTTGTCATTTAGAGTCAGAGGACATTAAAACGGCTAGTTCTGTTGAAAACTAGGAATAGATTTTTTTCCCCACATCAACACATAAGTGAAAGTATAAAAAAGTGATCGGCATACACCAGAATACCAACCTAAAAAAAATCACTTTCTGTTTGAACTTAGATAGTTGGACAAAAATTATCAGCTTTAGTGAGTCACTAACTCTACAAGGGTGAAAGTGCTTCCAAATAAACATTTAATTGAAATTATGTTATGTAATATATTTATACATTCAACTTTTCGTATAACACTTTTATGCAAAAATGATACTATTAATTCATGTAAACATGAGTGTAGTAGCTCATATTTCGATTTAGAGCAGTGGAATAAGGAAAAATATAAACAAATTAACATTTTCTTCAAAACTCTGAAATTAACACATAAAAAATTGAAATTGTTTTAACTATTGAAGAATCGAGTTTATATTGTTGAAACTTGATGATATAAATAAGACTTCATTTTTTGCTTTCATAGGGTGAGGGTTCGAAGGGTTAAATAGTCAAATAAGGCAAAAAGATGTTGTTTTAAAAGGGGGATTTAATACATCTGAGGGTGTATATTTCGGAAAATATACGAGATTATGATAAAATGAAATGAATAAATTTTGGGTCTCATTTCGATTTCGTTCGCTTTAATTTGGTGTATTTCAGTCTTATCGCTAGGACACTGTAATAGACTGGTATAATGGAAACTCCAAAAAAGGGATCTTTCAAGAGCCCTTCTCTTCCCTGATCACTAGGGGTCTGGTTTTTTACTACATACCTCCTAACAAGTCCTAAGAAAGTCCTATAATAAAAAAATATTTTCTTTATATTATACTTTGTTAGCTAGAATATAGCCATTATTTTTTTGATTTGCAGGTGAAATTTTGATAATTTTTATTTATTGATAAAATTAAAAAATAAATAAATCAGACTATTTTAAGGTTTTTTGGTTAGATCTAATTAAAAAACAAAAACCTGATTTTTTCATGTGATGTTTTGTTTAATTTTTTTCTCTTCATATCTTTATTCACACCTGTGATAAGTTTGACAATAACCAGTTATGCTATTGTTGTTAAGGAAATTGGCATTTTAGACATGAAGAAGAATCGTAACAAGCAGCATTTTTTCCTGGCGTCGGTTTTATTCCTTAACTAAGGACAGGAGATCTTTCATTCAGCTCCTTTTCAGTCGTCTCTTGATGGACAGTTCAGCTGTTATGTTATAAATCCGTTGTGATGTCCGTATAGTTTGAGATGCAATCGGGAGTAGAGAGTACGTATGTGTTGGTCGATAGTTGGTTGTCGTAAGTCGGTATGTAAAGTTTTGTTGTTTACGTACCAGGAAGCTACTGTTATTAGTCTTAGAATTTGGAATTGAAATGATAGTAGTTTTCAAGAGCGTTGTTTTTTTTTTGGAGAACTATAAATTTGTGAGGCGTATGTCCGTATGGGTTTGAATAGGTAAGTAAATCTATGTGTTTAGTTTTTATATAATTTTAAATTTTGGTTTGTAAAAAAGTGAGTATAGTATTTTCAGTCGCTTGTTCTAAGTCTTTCGTTTCATTTTGACATGTGGGCTCCTGATCATCATCCATCTGTTAAATACTAGTCGATATAAACTGGTCAGCATGTGTTTCGTCGAATTGTAAATGTTTAATATTTAAACATTGAAAGTTTGGCAATAAGTATTTTTATTTTTTTATTTTTTTTTTTAAACTTTTATTATGATATTTACAACTGTATTAGTATGAATACATCAAGTAAATGGGTACAGAGGAATATGTTGAGAAACTAGCCGTTGGTAGCACTCTAATAATTTTTCTACATGAGGAGATCACGAGGCCATCTTCCTTTCAGATGCCTCGGAGGGTTATTAGGAATCGAAGAGGAAGTAAGGTTAGAAACAAGAGGATTCGGTTATGAAGTTTATGATGGAAGGATAGGTATCTGGATTTGGCCAAATCGGAAACATATAGAACATTGAGTTCTTCATGGATTATTTTATTAGTGATAAAGTAAGAAGCATTGAGGATTTTACGAAAGATTTTGGATTGTAAAGATTGGATACGAGAGGAATTTGATGGTTTAGTGTGGAGCTCCATAGCTCAACTCCATAAGTCCAAATAAATCTTATTATAGTCATGTATATGAGTCGTTTGTAATTAATTGGAAGTTTAGAGCGCTTGTAAGTATTGGTAGTAAGTGTTGGAGTAAGCGGAAACGTCGAGCAGTTTCTTGTCGTTTCAGTCTTGTTTTAGGATTCCAGGTGAGACGTTTGTCCAGCTGGAGTCCTGGGTATCGGATTTGTTCTACAGGGATAAATAGGTGGTTATTAAAGGGTACTATGGGACAGCAAGTCATTGGTTTACGACGAAGGGTGAAGGTGATTTGATGGGATTTATTGAAATTTATTTTAATCCTCCCGTTTTGACACCATTTTTCAAGGTTTGTGATGTGTGATTGAAGAGTTTGGGATGCAATTGTTGGATCATTATTAACTGACAGGATACATGTTTCATCAGCATACGTATTGATGACAGTGTTGGGATGGGTTGGGATATCAGCTATTTTTAATTTTAAAAATTAACATTTATTAGCAATACTATCAACATTTAAAAAATATTTTCTAGAATTGATTTAAATTCAATTCATACCTTGTAGGTAAATTTAAGTAACTTTTGTCCAATAAGTAGACCACAGATATCTGTATAATTGTGTAACGAATTTGGCATATAACTACGTTTTTTTATTAATTTAAAGAAACAACAACTAAAGAATTAACATAAATATTTGAAATACAAGAAATCTAAAAACTTACTCTTTTCCAAGATGATGTATTAAAAAAAATACTAAAAATTAAGTACCGGGTCAAGTCTTTACTTTCAATACATAAAAATAAGATTTTTCCAATATTAATAATTTTTTATTTGAATAGATAATCTATTATATTTTATGTTTTTGCTTTTAAAAGAGATTCGAAAAAAGATTTAATTATTATTTAAAATTTTTAAAGATATTATTTTACTAAAATATAATAATATTATTTTTTAGGAAATATTTATTCTAATTTAACTAAAAATAAATAATTAAGTTTCATTAAATATACTATTGCATTTCGATTTTGTTAATACTTATGCTGATTTAAAAGCCTATAAACCTTACCTAAAATGGTTTAAATGTTAAACGGGTTAACGACTACGATGAATTTTCTATAACCGTTATTGTATAATGACAGTTAAAGAATATATATTTTAATATTCATATTAAGTCAATTACATAACGTATATATATATTTAGTTAAACATTATACTTTTAGATTTCTTATAGTGAAGGTTCTAGCTAAGTGCTCCAAAGTTATTTCTGTAATATTCTTCTAAGCAAGTAAAAGTAAATTGAAGTAATTTTCCCTGCAATTGCTAAAGCACGTTTGCTCTAATCTCACAGGATTTTATTATCGTACTCCACTACTGTGAAATTCTTATCAATTTTCTAGAACATCACGTAGGCTTTCAAGATAAATGGAACATAATTAATGAGTGTCAGCACTTAGCTTCTCCCGCCTAGTTTTTATTGGACCAATACGAGATTATTTTAAGTTGTTTTTGTGGTTAGGTTTCCTTTGAAGGATCCTAAGGAAGTTTGATTAACTATGGATCCCAACCTAACAACAAATAACCATAAACGTTAATGTCTTGACGGTTGAACAGTCTCTGAATAATTTTCCGATATTAAAAGTAAGAATTTTAGATCATGAGAGTATTGCGATCACCGAAATATAATGTCCTGATATCTTACAAGGATCATCCACGCGAGAATAAAAAGTTTCTAAAGTTTCATAACATTTGAACATTATTATTTCAACAATAATAATTTTTTTGTTCGATTCTTGTAGTCTTTGTTGTTGGACTTTGAACTGCTCATCCAATTCATTTTATAATTTACATGTATAATTATGCATTTTTCCTATTTGAATTTCTTTTCATCTGAAATGCAAAACGGATTGAAAGTCTTAAATAAATCAAGAATACAATAAAAACAATTTCTAACACTTTTTGGCCTTTGAAATTCCATATATGAACCAATTGTGATCATATTTAACATGTCTATTCGTTCTATAATATATCAAGTTATTTTGAATTATTGATTTGAAAACTTCTTGACGTTTTTAAAAATTATGTAAAGTAATTATTACTTTGTTATTATGTAAATTAATTATTACTTTATTATTATGTTAAGCCATTATTATTTTGCTTATTATGCAAAGTTATAATAATATTCATCACTGCTGAGATAAATTCAAGTTCTAAGAAATTAATTTGTGAGTACCGTTGCTAGTTACTGATGGTCTGTGTTCGAGACCACGACGATTCTTGGTCATGCGCACTCAGGCTAGGTCTTGGTCTTGGTCTTGCGCAACAGTCTTGCAGTTATCTATTAGCTTATTACTATAGAGATATTAGAAATAGAAATAGAAAAATCATATATATTCTGGAACTAGTCCTCTTTATAATAACAGTATTGTTCACATAAATTAACCATAAATCTGGCCAAAAGACCTCAATTACTGTGATTATTACTGTGATTTTTAGATAGAAGAGCCCGAATAAAAAAATAGAAGAGTTAAATGCAAAACTATATGGATTATACCAATTCTTTACATATAGTAACTAAAATTGTCAAGTATTAGTAACTATTTTGCCTTAATTTTTATTCAAAAAATCTTTTTTTTTAAGCCAATCTTGGTCTTGCAACAGTTAGGCGGTCTTCGTATTAGTTTTGCAAAGTGCAAGAGCAAGACCGATTTTTGGCAACACTACTGATGGTAGGACTGATAAAAAGTGGAAGAACTGAATTAGGTAGGATGAGTGAAGGAATGGGGTCCTTAATGTCCTTATAATGGCTCAAGGTATAGTACAAGTAGTGCATTTTTTTAGAATACCTGATTTATATTGTTTCCAGGTAACGAGAACAACGAACACAAAAAGATAACGTGGAATCACAGCTCGAGAAGGGGAAGCCCGAACCTCCTGAGGCGTTCAAACACAGAGAAAGCACTCAAAAAGAAGAAGAGAGTAGTAAAAATGTTATTTGCTGTAGTCTTGGAGTTCTTTATATGTTGGACTCCCCTTTATGCCATTAATACGGTAAGAAAATTTTTATTTTTTTTAATTAGTAACGTTATATATTATTATTATGATTATTATTTTTTGTATTTAGTGCACGATAGTTCCTTTAATGTAAAAGAATCCTCCATTTATAAATATTTTTGTAAAATATAAGCGACGTATTCTACTAATATCTATTCAATTAATAATTATGTGTATAAATACAGGGTGTCCCATAAGTAGAGAGAAATAATTAAAAGTTTGATAGTAGACATCAAGATTTTCAAAAAGTACATATAAATAGTTGAACGAATTCCAGCAGAAAAGTAGCAAATTTGAGATTTGTGTTTGGTTTAAGCGACATACGTTTTTGTTAAATAAAATAAAAATATTTGATTTAAGTCACCAAACATTACTCTATAGTTAACTAGACAAAATATACTTTTAACGAAAGTAGATTCTGTCATTGTTAACGTTAGGCTCCGTTTACAAAAAAAGTCATAAATAATTTGTGATTTTTTTTTATCACCCTTCAATTGCACTACAGTTACCCCACTTTTAGGTAAACTTTCTCATTTAAAAAGCTGTAAGTCTATATTAATTAATTTGAGATTTATTGGGAAAAAATGTTGAGATTCATCTCAAGTTATGTAAAGAAGTTATGAGAATTTCTTTCCACTCACCTAAAGGTACCCGTGTTTTCAGAAAAAATAACCCCAATTAACTGTGTCAAAGGTTTTATTTCTTGTTTATTTTGTGGCATGGGAAAAAATAAATGAGAAAAAAATATTTAAATAATTTTTAACAAAAATTATCTTATTTATTTTTCTCCTTACTCTACCCGGATGATTAGGATTATTATATATCAATCGATTTTTTTTTTTTTTGAAAAATAAAAAAAAATTGAGTACTGTATTAAATGAGTTAGGACTTACTATAAATTACACAAAACAAAAGGCACTTCAAGTTAAGAAAGCTAAGTAAAGTTTTGTTATGAAGAAGATAGTTAATTTCATTATTTTTCATTTTGAAGAAAATCCTGAGAAGTTATGACTGATAAGTATGCCTTAGCTATCGACCGGAAAAAAAAAATCCCCTCAGAAAATCAAGTATTAAATAATGTAATTTTCTATTTCTATAAAAAATCTTATTTGCCAGTTTCAATGGACACTAAAAACGAATCTAACTTGATTTTTCATGACAAAAATTTACTTAGCTTACTTTACTACAATCCCACAATTTCTTTTTATTTCTTAATGATTGAAGGTTACAAAATGTCTTTAAATCTCATATATGTAATATGTAAACTATATCCTAAAATCAAATAAACTATATGTAAATTTTAAAAAATAGAAAAAAAAGGTGATTCCAAAAAATGAGATTTGCATTACATAAGTTCATATATCTGACATATATTTGATCAATATATTAACTACTTCTGAGAGAATATCACATTAATTAAGATCTCCCAATTTGTTAAATACAAACAAACATCCTTCTATTTCATAATAGCTATATACTCCTCCTCTCTCAGAAATTGTGTACTATGTGGCAAACTTCATCTACTTCAAGGCTTTTAACTTTATTCAATCTACATTTTATATTCTCTTTGATCGAGTGATTTATCTCCATCATCTATCAAGGGAAACCATTATATTAATGGATTGTTTATAATTAATTAATGTTTTCTGCCGGAAATGTTATAATTTTTTACATATTATTTACGTAAGCCAGAATCTGTTATTGATACCGAACTCCTTACTGTTTGGAAGTAGAGTTCCAACTTTTTCTGTATTTCCCCGCATCTATCTTTTCCCACACACATTTTTACTTCCCTATCTCGCCTTTTAGGCTATACGGGATTTTTCCTTGACCGGGGAAATTAAAATCCCCTCCGGCACCGGGACGCGAACTCGTACTTTTTTTAATCTCTCAAAACTTCATATATCTGGTTGCCGGGCAATTCGTGCTGTGCACATTCTTTAGCCCATTCGGCCACCCCACCCCCCAAAACATACATTTTTACTTTCCTACCTATACTACGTAAGAAAAGTATTGCGATCGTGTCATATTTTCAATATGCGATTTTCGACGGATCTATAGATTTCAGAGCCCTCTCAGTCCGAATAACACATTTTTAGCCATTGGTCTGTCTGTCTATCTGTGCCAAGATTTACTCGGGAACTAGTGAACCGATTTTGTTGCTTCTTTTTTTATTTTGTTGGGTTTTGGCTACTGATACCTGTGACACAAATTGGATGCTTCATGCGCAATAGCTTTTGATGAAACTTTCCTATAATGTTCTAATAATTATCCTTTTTCTTACATAAAATATTGAATAAAATGAAATTCCCTATAAAACTATATAAAAATCGTTCATTTCGGAAATCCATTAACGAAGTTATAGCTATTCGATTTCCAATGTAAAATTACAGATACATATCCTGGCAGCGATGTATGTCAGAAAGGGATGAATGAGAGAAAAAAGATAAGCGACATTAACTAAAACTAAGTGAAACTAAGAAAATCTGTTGCCCGCATCACACAAGCTTCACTATTTTGTCTACTTTTAACAGAAATTATCGTTTGCCAAAATTAGGCTATGGCAAAATATTTTTGATCAGCAATTTTAGAGGGTATTGAAATTTTTACACTGATCTAACTTAGGGCGGTTTAAATTGCTTTCCTTTATCAAATAAATAGTACTCAAATCTTTTCTTTGATCAATTTTCAGGAAAATAAATCTAATTTAATTTTTTGTTTTTTTATGGACATATGTAAAGGTATAAATTTTTTCCAGAAATAGGTAGGAAAGTCGTGTAATTGGGCAGACCTGATTTATTTATTTGGGTCTAGTACATTTTCAACAGTACAAGAACTATTTATTACTTTTATTTGTATTATAGTGTGAGTTACAGTGATGAATCAAGAAGTTACTTTTATTTTAATATGTAATTCTGTTGGAGGAACACTTCATTACTGTATCTCTGGGGCTCAAGGCAATTATTTTGTTTATTTCAATCATCAGAAACGATAAAGTCATGTATGAATTATTTTCTTGGTAAGTAACATTGAATATTTAATTTTTGTTTTGTTTAACATTTAAGTTGTCATACATTAAAAGCTAATTAATCCTCAAACTTTTCAAATTCCTATCGTTCGATCAGACTTCTTGCTTCCTTTTCTAAATCATCAATTCAGATTTAGAAAGCATCATCCAACTATTCAATAAACCCATCGATTAGTTGATTATATTTTTAATTCTTTAGAATCTAAAAAATATTGTATGGGAGTGTTTTTAAGGGGTGCCCAGAAGGCGGCTTTCATGGTAAGTTGCGCCATCACAATTTTTGAGGGGAGGGCACATTACGAAGGAGTGTTGAATTTTCGAAATGAAAAGTTTTAAATCAAAAGACAATTGGAAGCATAGAACAGACTGTAGCGTGTGGAATTGTGAGCGGGGTAGCCGAATGGTCTAACGCGTTGTGCACAGCACCACCGTTGCCCGGCAACCTGATATATGACAATTGTGTTATAAAAATATTCACGAGTTCGCGTCCCGGTGCCAAGGCGTCTTTTAAATCCCCGGCCACACTCCCTGGCCCGGGAAAACCCCGTATAGCCTTAACGGCGAGGAAGGGGAGGACCCAAAAAAAAAAAAAAATAAATAAAAAAAATTCCCCTGTGCACGAAGGATTGATTTTCAAACTTAAAATTTTACTACCTCCGACCCATTATCTAATATTTTTCTCATATTTAACGGGTAGACATTTATCAGTAAATGTAGGAACAGAACTTTCTGACATTAGATCCATTACGGCAGGAGTACCTCAGGGTATAAGGGTCTTTGGACCATTATTATTTTACATTTATATATGTTAAACCTACCGCAACGCAATAATATTCTATTATCTGCCTTTTCTGACGATACTGCAAGCCTTTGCTCATGTCAGATTAAATTCCTATTCGAGGATCTACCACTTTTTAAAATCATCTGAATTATATTGCTGATTATGCCACAAAGTTGAAAATTAAAATGAACGAAAAACATAGTGTGTATGTAGTATTTACTTCTAATCTTACACCTTCCCCCAAAATACATTTTATCAACATTGAAATTTCAGAATCAGATGAAATTAGATAGTTGGGTATTTTTTTATACAAAGGACTGGCATGGAAGACTCATGTTAGAGAAAAACGAATGGAATTAAAAAGTTGATGGTTTTTTTTTATCCAGGATACTGAACACAATTGTATATATATCTTTAATTAATAAACTAACTCTGTATAAAGTTTTGCTAAAACAAATTTGAATTTACGGCTTAGAACTGTGTGGTTCTGCTTAACATTTAAAGACTAAAAAAATTCTGTCTTTTTAGTCGAAATAGTTACGGAGCATAGTTGATACATCGGTCTATGTCACAAATGAAATAATACATAAGGAGTTAAACATATCTACAATTTTAGATACAGTAAAAGAAAATTACAATAACTTTCAGCAAAGACTGACTTACAACATGATTCAACTGACGAAAATTCTCAAACGCACAAGACAGCCCTACAGCCCACCATAATTATTATGAAGGCGCTGGTTATGAGATCTGCTGAGGTGATTTATATCCTGCTGTTGGATGCTATGAATCTGCCAATAAAGTTTGATCATTGCAAAGCAATTTGTAGATTGTAAATTTAATTTTATGTTCGAATTTACTTTTTGTTTATAATAAATAAATAAACATTAATACAAAATAGTTTGAGGACGCATTTATACTGGTCTGTACTGAATAGTTTCTTCGAAGGAATGTTGCATTTCAAAAACTGCCAATGCTATTAAGAAATATCTTTTTCTATTAGATAAACATTTTATTGCAAAAAAGACTTTAAGACTGAGGCACACAGAACGTGCTCTGTCGCTGTGATCTTCGATCTCTGCCACTGGCAACTACAGGTCCGACGTGAGGGGGAGCAACCATGGTCGCTGCACTGGGGCTGAACCCTGAATGAGCCTGGCTTAGCCTACAAGGATTTATATTTTAACTTATAAATTTATGTTAAAGTGAAATACAGATAACATTATAGACACCAAATTACTCTGTGGCACTATTTCTCATATTTCTGACTCTACTTCTCAAACGTTTGACTCTATTTTTGTGACACCATATTTCTCTGCCGTAAATGTTTTAATATGATTTGAACTCGAAATATTGAAAACAAAAAAATGTTTAACGTACTTTTAAGTATTCTTATTTTCTGTTTCGTTGTGTATTCATAGCATATCATGGTTAAGTTCCTGATCATATTTATTGAATATAAACTTTCAATACTTAAAAAAAATTATATTGTTTAAAACCAGAAAAGAAAGTCAACTCAAAAGAAAACTCTACATCTTCAATCGGGAAATCTCATCCATCCTAAGGGAATGTACTTTAATCTCAACTTAAACATCTTAATATAATGTTTAGGAAAATTGAAGTCTAAATATATTTTAAAGCATTTTGGTGGTGCCTTCCACTAAATACTGCAACTCTTGTTTATTAGACTTTGTCCCATGTTTCGGTGCAAGTCAACAGAAAGAGTCTTGAGTTTTGTTAGGAAGTAAAATAGGTACTCAATTAATACTGCAATTTTAAATATTCATGCAAGACAATTTTCCAAACAATCTACCAAGGTATTTATGCAGATATACAAATAAATTTGATAAATAGGTAATTTTTTTTTGTTAATTTTTCTTTTAATCCATTTTCTGTGGAGGTGTATTCAGGTACATCCTTGGCCTTGAAAGTTTTCTAATTTTTCCTTATAAGATCCGGGCACTTGTCGCTCCGTTTGTAATCGTACATTTCAACTTTGATGGGTCGTCCTCTCGTTGATATATCAGACTCCAAAAAAACTCTGAAGACTGGTGGTAACCGTCCTTTAGCTCGCATACCAGTGGTGATAAGGAAATCCACCCTTTCTGCACTTCTGATTACTTTTATCTAGATATTTCCTCATCCCATTAAGACAAACTATTGAACACGCTCTGTTGAGGCATTCTAGTCTATCCCCCACACGTAACCTCAAGAAGTATAAAGTCATAATTAAAGTCGCTTTCTTAATTTTTTAAATGTTTAGCCCTTTCATTTTTTAACACCTCCGGGCTAAAATTTCTACTTGCTAAGTCTACATTTGGAAAACTCGACAGACCGCGTTCCACCAAAGAAATGAACACACATCAAATATAGCCTTGAAATTCTTCTCAATGGAATAAAATCCACTGTTTCAACAAGGGAAACTCATGTATGATCTGCAGTATTTTTATTTTTTTTTTAGAAAATTTGTATATATATATATAGTTTTCTATTATACTTTTAGTGTAGGGTAGATGAATCTCAGTAATCCAGATTGTTTAATAACATTAATAATTTTCATATTCCATGTTATTAGCAGCTATATCATTAAAGAACAATCATTCTAATCCTGAATATATCAAGATATTTTTAGAAACTTATACTCTAATTCCTTTCAATTATCATCTTTATATAACTGTATTATTTAAATTTCTGTTCAAGATTGCTCTGTTCGCTCCAGCGGCTGTCTACGAAAGACTGGGCTACAAAGGTATTAGCTTCCTTCACCTTCTTGCCTACTGCTCTAGCTGCTGCAACCCGATCACATATTGCTTTATGAACTCCAGTTTTAGAAAGGCCTTCCTCAAGCTGTTTGGCTGCCTTCGAGAAGAGAAGATGAACAGCTGACAGTCAATAAAGCTGAGCTGCAGTAGAAATGTAAGCCTGTTTCCATTGTAGTTGAAATAATAATAGTTTAATTATTATGTTACATCTAGGGCTCAGAGTTGATTCTGAATTTAGGCAAGCTATTTTATTTTTTTTTTATTAACTCGATGTTCTAAAGATAATCCTGAGGACTAGCTTCTATATGAAGAAACAAGCGATCAGTACCTGTATTGTGTTGCCTAGGGAGTGTTTGAAATAACATCAGAAGTCCACGATAGAGGGTGTTCAAAGGACTCAACGGATGAGGCTTAGCAAGAATGACCGGTAAGGTTAGGAAGATAATTTCCCAAACAACAATCGGACGGTGAGTTAAGAGATGAAGCTCTAACTATCGTATTATGGTGCCCACAAAGGGAGAATTAGAAATAATCTCTTGACTTTATGGTTGGAGACATCATCGAAGGGATAAACCATAGGACTATATATAACCGGACGGATGAGCGTCCAGATCTTGTATGGAGAGCTTAAAGAAATTTCGAGACCTATAATGAACCCGGACAAATCGTAACGAGGAAAATTGGTAATGAATAGAAGACTGAATAAGGAATGAAACAATAATGATATAGAATCAATACTAGTTATGAATAATTACACATTCTCTTACCCACGACTTCGAAGATTCTGTGAGGTAGAGAAGTCCCAGAGCCTTGTTTACATTCAGCCCATCGGATTGCTCTTCGCTCTGCAGTATTTACTCTAATACTTCTTCCGGGACAGCATCAGAACCAGTGGGTATTTACAAATCTGCCTTCACTCCTCATACTTTTCCACGTTTCGTTTGTGAAGGACCCTTTTGTTCCTTTGTTTTGTTTTTTCAAATTAATTTCGGTTATTATTGTGTCAACTGGAAGCACTTGGTCATTCTTTTAAACAAATCATTTACTAAATATCACAACATTCTGTCATTTGGACATTAGTTATAGAGAGGTGAGATCAAATTCACAATATATGTACAAAAAAAATATGAAATAAACAGAAGCAAAATAATAAACAAATAATAATCAAAAAGTATAAACAATAAATAAAACTCGGCGGTAAATACACTAGAATTGGACCGATACAGAGAAGATTAGAATGGTCCTTTAGTATTTGAAACAGATATTCACAATTTTAACGCGAGTGAACTTTTGGGGAACAGCTTGCACATGGATATTTTGATAGTTTAATATAATTATTTTTACTTTTACTTACCTATATATGAAATATATAGTAAGTGAAAGTATTGCGATCCTGAAAATTTTCGTACGTAAGTGAAAATTCATATTTAAGGTTTTTATATGCTAGGGATGTTACGGCAACTTTTATATAAAATATGAAAGAATTTGATAACTAACTAAAGGAGAAATAAGAGATCGTAACGGAGAATAGCTGTAATTGAGGAACTAAAGGAATACGAGCGCACCCGAGCTCGCCCGAAAGATTAGAACAAGCTTCCATATATTAGAACATGAGCTTAATATAATAAGGTCTCCGACAATATCATGTAAATATACATATGCGGTTTTCATAGATGCTATTGTTGGTATTATTTAATATTTAATTTTATATATTATAGAGATATAAATATTAAAATTTGTTTATATAAAGGTACTTATAAAAATTAAAATACCCACAATGAAATATAAATAAATATAGCCTTTTGTAATTTTATACAATTTTAATTGTAATTTTATCAGTTGTAAAACGCCAGTTCTTGAGACGTAAGTATTTAATTACTGCATTAAGCCTTTTATAATTAAAATACAAAATAGTTCTAGAATTTTATGTTTGTAATACTTCTTCATAAAACAATTAAGATGTTTTGTAATTAAAATGTCCTATATTTTAAAAACAAATAATACTTTGTAATTCAAATACTGTATTTTAAAATATCTTTTGTTCAGGTCTTATATGCTAATACCTTGAGATCTAGATTAACCTAATTTAAAAAAAAATGTGTTCAAAATCTAAGCAATAGGTACATTTGGCATCCTTTTTTTGTAAATACATCGATATATAATAATTTAAGAAGATATTGAGGAATAAAGAGGAAAAAAATGGAGTTAAATAAATGTTTTGATTTCAAAAATTAGGGCGCTAGTACGGAATACTGGAAAACCTAAAAGCTCACAATATTAACGTAATCAAGTTTCTTAATACCAATACTTAGACTTAACAGAATTCCATTACATAAGGCGATTGTGGAAGAATTTAGCTCTACAGTAAAGCCTCTACAGTACGGGGAATCGTTTCATTTCCTGTTCCATATGTGGCTGCTTGATGGATCTTATTTTTTTAATTTATTTAGACATATAATATTCTGTCACAGGGACAATAATTATATTGATAAATGAACACATTCACACCGTATATACAAAAACAAAAAAATAAAATTAACAAAATAAAATAATAACTATATACAATAAAAAAAATAAAATAACCTAAATACAAATAAATTAAAAACAGTCACACCTATATACAATATATACAATCAGGCGGAGAACCCAAATCCCCGCGCTACTCTCTCAACCGCCTCACCGATGCTAAAGCCGGTGGAGTTTGAGCGAGAGCGCTTTAGCCACATACATTCGTGTCTTGAGTGGAGAATCTGGCCATTGCCAGAACTCCAAAATAAATACTATAAAAGATCTCTAGGCCACTGCCGCTTCAACCTTCGAGGAGGGTTGTAGAGATGAGTGGAACTAGATAGGGATTGGGCTAGGGGATTTGGATGATTGATAAGGTTCTGATAGAATTATGAAAATTTTTCAGAGATAAAGTCAAGGACAAATGGGATATTAAGGTCATGATGAAGGTTTTGTTGGTTACATAGAACGGAGCATAGACTATTGTTCGGAGGACTTTGGATTGAAAGGATTGGATGCGTTTGATGTTAGAGAATTTTGTCCCCCAAGGTTCAAGTCCTCAGGTCCAAATAGGTTTCAGGATTGTCTTGTAGATTAGATGTAGTAATTTGTTGTCAATTGAAAGTTGAGATTTTCTGGTCAGTAGTCTGTATAATTGGCCGTATCGTCGGTTAAGTTCTTGTCTTGGATCTAAGATTATATTAAAAGTTTAACAATAATTTGAGCTCACGTCAGATTAATTGCTCGTTCAGTTTTAATATTTTCCAAGAATAATTTGTATTAATTATCCACTTTGCAATAACAATGAAGTTATAATTAAATAACAATTTCATAATTACAACATTAATATTACAAGGAATTTACTATCTAACAAATATAATTTTTGTCATTTCCCCAATGTTAAAATATGTCGCACGAATTTTTCTCCAAATGCTTCTAAATTACTCTGATGAATTTAGGTGATCTCCCCATCTATCTAATATGACAAATATAGTTTGACACAACTAAGTTATAATATGTTTAACAGTGATTTCTAGACTATGGTTAATTTTTTTTTAAAATCTTATCCTTTTATTTTCGCACACTTTGAATTTGCTTTTTGATTGAAAACGTGTTTCGGGAAAATGTCTCTAACTCTTGTAACATTTTTGCAATCAAACCAAAATAAAAAATAAATATTTATTTTTCCTAAAATATTTATTTTCAATACGACATACAAGAAGGAAATGGATTTAAACAATTCATAAAAATTAATATAAAACGGGACATACTGTTTTAAAAGTGTAATAATGAAAAGAACATCACCTTTATTATTTTTTTGCTTTTCATATATTTTTTTTTAATTTGTATTGCTAAAAATATTGCTAAAAATTGCGTCATGTAAACGATTAATCATTGCCCGCCAATACAAATAAATTGTATTGAATCTTATTTATCATTACCTAAATTCTGTGGTAGTATACAAGTTTTTGGAGAAGTGACAGCTGCTATCATGTTAACAGTCACACGCAAACGCATCCATAGAGAATCAATAGCTTAAGTAAAATTGTGAGAGAGTGGAAAACGATTGTTCTCAAAATCGATGGTATCGATGTGTAATTTTTATATCTGAACTCGAAATTGATTCTATTCAACTATTTTATATCCTCAAATTCCTTGTGGACAAATAAAAACTATCTGAAAAACGAATGAAACTTAAAAAAAAATGTAAATGGAAATTATAAATGTATGACATTAATAGTATTTTATGATCACTTACTTGATACGAGTATATTGTTAAGCCTGTTCTTATAATAATGGGTTAAATAAGTATAGTTCTTTGGAAGTACTGCGAAACCATATTTAACTTAACCGCTTAACCATATTGGATTTCGCAAAGGGAGATCGACAATAGACCACCTAGTCCAAATGCAGGCTGAATTGCTATATGCCTTTGTTCAAGAAGAGGAAGCAGTTGCTGTTTTCTTCGATATGCGCAAAGCATTTGATAAAACCAATAAATATTTAATTCTAAGAAAGCTCCATTGACTAGGATTTAGAGATAGTCTTTCCAAATTCGTCCAAGAATTTCTTTCTCATCGCTCTTTTCGGGTCCAAATTGGAACATCGTTGTCTGTGCAATGTAAACAGATAAGGGGTTACCAAAAGGATGTGACCTAAGCGCAACTTTATTCGCCTTGGCCATCAGCGACCTTGGATTAAATGTACCACGTAGAATTAAAGTTAGAATAGAATAGAATAGGAAATAATTTTATTCTAGGACGAAGTCTCTTCATAATAACAAAAAAGTACAGAAATTAAAATGTTATATCTAGCCAAATAAAAACAAACATAAAAAGTAAAGATAAAGATAAATCAGTAAAAAAAAAAAATAGTTATACATACTATATACAAAATAAAATAAAAAAAATCTATACATAAAACTCTTGAAACCATACTTGCCACCAAGATACTTAAAACTATGTACAATGGTAAAGAATAAATAAACCCTTTTATAAAAAATAAATGTAAATTCTTCTTAACAGTAAAATCCGTGTTTCTGTTGAAAAAAAAAAGAAAGTCGAATCTATAATAAGTATTTACGTTATTAGCTATATGTGAATATATTATTATAAATAATATGTAATTTTGCATAAAAGGTTAGCT